ATGGTCTAGTGGTTGGGATTCTGACACAAGGGGGTTCTAATCGTGAACGCATTACAAAAAGGGGGGAGATAGCATTAGACCCACCCCCATTTGACGACCCAGGGGTCTATAATTTTGGGGGGTCCATTAGCCGGGTGAATACGGTAGTACCAATATTTTGTTTCTTGACCAAGTTCTAGAATCTTTAATACCGTATGCTTCTTTGTGCCTCTTCAACATGACCTCTACAAACTCGCCCTTTTATTCCCTGTTACAAGCATTCTCAAGGGGCGCCAAAGCTCTTCCGTTAAAAAAATCATTCCACAACTTATATTTTCCTTCACTCCCTTGGTCCTCTCAGCCCAACTCCCCCAATCCCCACCTCTTGCAACCAGACTTACCGCCTTCGTACAGCCCACTTCCCTTGACCCCACATGTCTCTCCCCAACCCAAACTCCACCAGAGTCCATAATGCTTCCCAACTCAATCCCCACCCACTCCCCCACCCCCCTCCACCTCGGCCCCCCGCGCGCCTCTCCTGGTCCAGCCCCCCAATCCCTCGTACATCTCTAAGCTTAAGTCCCATAATACCTCTTGCTTATCACAGAGACTCAGACTCCCGCCTCCACCTCCCCCCGTCTCTCGGCGCCCCCCTCTTTCCCTGTTCCCTAATCTTCACTACTCACCTCCCCCTCTCCATATACTCAACCCCCCCCCAGAGAATCTTGCCGTCTCAATGCAACCCAAATCCACCCTTTCCCTCAACACTCCCTTATGCATCTCCCCATTTCCTCACTTCTCGCAACACACCCAACAACTCCTCCCCGAGTTCACACTACCAACCTTGAATACTACCAATCGTGAGTGGTAGTACCCAGACCTCCACACAAGTGAACATTGAATCGCAGCCTACCTTGCCAACCTGTTCCTATCACCTCACCGGTTTCACATGGTTATCAGTGGCTGCTGGAAGGTGCAAGAACAAAAATACACAGCATAGTCAAATAATCATGCCCCTATAACAAACGAGTTTATGCCTGGAAGAGCCAGCTTCACCTTTTCTAGTGCCTGGTGATCACTCACACTAACGTTTTCAAGGCAAGGGAATGCCTTCAAGCATTCAACGAAAAACTGAAACCTCAGTAACAGAGTCTTGAGACACCATCACAAAAATTAACTATCTGAATACTATACATGATGTGTGTCTGAAGACTTTGTTCGAATGTTTTCAAAATGTAGGGGTTCAAACTTTTTTAGAAGAAAGTATCGAACTTTTTTCAAATGATGTGTCAGATGATTTTCGTATGATTGGCAGGTTCTGAAATGGTTCTGAATACATGCGAGGGAAGTTCTATTGGGGTTTTGGAAACCTTGTTATGGACATATTGGCGACACCTATTAACATTTATGCGGTGTAAAAATGGTGCTTTGCTGTGTTTTGTTACATGTTTGAACTGGATTTTGACATAGTTTAGCAGAGTGTCAATGCCTGTAAATTATACAGTTGGAAAAGAGCATCATGTATGTTTTTTTACCTTGTACAAAGCCATAATTACACCTTACACAAGGTTCGATATTGCCTCGACCCAACACCAAACATCCTTTTCCATGGATCCCACCCCCCGACATACGATGTGTGCTCGCACAAATCAGAAAAATAGGAATTAAAAACGCTACAACATTCCTGTTGCTTCATATCCCTGCATCTAGTCTCCTACTGTCACATTGTCACTGCCTTCTACTAGTAATCTGACTTGCTGCTGCAATACCCTACTCGTCTCCTATCGCACTAGTTGGCCTGGAATTCCTAACTGCTGTGACCTATGCTGCCCCTTCTTCGCTTTCCCAAATGCTCTGTATCTACTCTACTCCCCTGGCTTCTATGACTACTCTTCTTCCCACTGTTGTGACTGCTCTTCTTCCCCCGCTGCTTCCTCAACTTTTCTCCCCACCTGTTGTGACTACTAAGCTTGACCCGCTGCTGTGATTCTTCGCCTCTCCCACTGAATACATGTCAGAGTTTATATCTGCAACTGCCTGTTGCTGTAGTTAGTATAGTTATTACAAACTGTGTTAGGTGGTGCACCTTTGTTCACCTATAGTGAACTCAACACTTCTCCCACAATCCTCTCGACACCCTTGGCACGAACTACTCGATCTAGTTGGCCTAGGCTACTAAGCCTAGGCCGTCCTACTTTTTACCTACCTATCAAGCTTCTATTTCGACATGCTATCAGAGCAAGTTCCGTCCTGGCCTGTGGGCCCGCCGTATGCTTCCGCTGTTGTTCTTTTCCGGTCGCGCGCCTAGGTTGCGTGGTGATTTGCATTAATGTCCCGCCCTCGGACATCTACTCTGCCCATCGTGCGCCCCGCGGCGTACGACGGGGAACTGCACTACCTACCTACCTGAACTGCCCGTCGCGCGCCCCGTGGCACACGACGGTGTCCTGCCCGTCGTACGCCCCGTGGCACGCGACGGTGCCCTGCCCGTCGTGCGCCCCGTGGCGTGCGACGGTGCACTACCTGCCTACCTACCTGAGCCGCCGCGTACCCGCCCCTGGCGCACTCAGTGGTGTCTCACTCACGCCTGCACTTGCTGCAGCCGCCCCTGCACCACCCGGCGCCTGCCCCTGGAGCAGTCCCCTTCGCTCCTGCACTCGGTGCAGCCGCCGCTACCTCTCCCCGCACCTGCACTCCCTGCAGCCGCCCCTGACCTACCCGCGCCGACCAACTGTAGCCACTCTGCGGCTTTCTCCCCGCCCACCCCCTCCTCCTTCGTTTCCCTACATCCGTGGGGGGGAGGGTATGGGGGTGGCGGGTGTTGGGGTGATGGGTGGTATGCTTCCCTTCCCCTCCTCCTCCTTTCTTTCCCACTGCTGCAACTGCCGCTAGGGGGAGGGTGTGAGGGTGTGGGGGAGCTGGGGGAGTCGCATTGGGATGGCGGGTGTGAGACCAACTTCCCTTCCCCTCCTCCTCCTCCTTTCTTTCCCGCTGCTGCAGTTGCCGCTGGGGGGAGGGTGTGAGGGTGTGGGGGAGCTGGGGGAGTGGCACTGGGGTGGCGGGTGTGAGACCATTCAACAACCGTCCCTCCACCTCACCTCTCTTCCCCCCTCTGCTGCTTCTGCAGCAGTGTGGGGGGGAGGGGGAGGGGGAGGGTGAGGAGATAGCAGGAACTCTTGCCGTACCTTTGCTGCTGTACTACCTACCTACCTACCTGCTGCTGCTGCTATTTGTGTACCCCTGCAGGTTGTGTTCTGCACAAACTTCTGCTGCAGGCAGTTATGGGGGAGTGTCAGAGTTTATATCTGTAACTGCCTGTAGCTGTAGTTAGTGTAGTTATTACAAACTGTGTTAGGTGGTGCACCTTTGTTCACTTGCATATATGTGATTGCAAACCTATAGTGAACTCAACACTTTTCCCACAATCCTCTCGACACCCTTGGCACAAACTACTCGATCTAGTTGGCCTAGGCTACTAAGCCTAGGCCATCCTACTTTTTACCTACCTATCAAGCTTCTATTTCGACAATACATACTCTTCTTCTCCCACTGCTGCCCCTTTTTCGCTCCCCCCCTTGTTGTGACTTCTCTGTTCCCTCCTTGCTGCCCCTTCTCTGCTCCCCACATTGCGGAAACCTTTGCTCCCCAGCTGCTTCCCTTTCTATTCATCCTCCACTGCTCAGTGACTACTCTACTCCCCTGGCTGTTGTTTATTTGGAGCTCCCCCCACTGTTGTGACTACTCTCCTTCCCCACTGCTGCCCCTTCTTTGCTCCCCCCTATTGTAACTACTCTGCTTGACAAGCTGCTGCCACTCCTCTGCTCCCCCCACTGCTGCCCCTTCTCCACTCCCCCCATTGTTGTGATTACTCTGCTCCCCCTGCTGCCCCTTCTCCACTTCCCCAAATTCTCTGTGTCTACTCTGCTTCCCGCACTGCTGCCTCTTTGGAGCTCCCCCCACTGTTGTGGCTGCTCTTCTTCCCCCGCTGCTGTCCTTTTCCATTCCCACCCTGCTGTCATTACTCTGCTTGACCCGCTGCTACCCCTTCTCCGCTCATCCCACTGCTGTGTCTGCTCTACTTCATCTGCTGCTGGTCCTTCTCCCATACCCCCTCTGTTTTTATTACTCTGATTTCCTGTTTGCTGTTCCACTGCTGCACACTCCACTCTTGCTCCTCCCAGCATCACAGCATTGTTGTCCCCAAGCAAACACCTACTGCCTCTCACAGCTGCCATACCCTGCTGCTCCGCTGCGGTCTCACAACTCAACATAGCTTCCCTTTTTGCTGTCCATCTCATACTCTCCTTACTGCTACTCCTCCACAGCACACCCCACACCAATTCTGCAGCTTACCCCTCCACTGCTGCGTCCCTGTGTCTCCCCACTCCACCTTTCTCTGCCTCTCGCACTGTTTACAACCCGCTGCTCCTCTTCGTTGCAACTTCCACTCTAGTTCAATCAAGCAACCACCCTCCCCACCGGAGTGCGGGTGCTTGGTGTGGCCCTATACTCCTCAAAGCCCGACTCGTGGACAAAAAGGCCAAATGGCCCCCATTCGAAACCCTTCATGCGGGGGTTGTAGGTCGGACTGGCCTGGTTGAAGTGATCCCTCACCACCCTTTTCACAAGGGCGCGGATGCTTGTCACCCATTTGGTGTTCTTACGGTGGGAGTTGGTGAGGTTCATTGTCATCTTGTTTGTCTTAGACAATCCGTAATCGATCTGTACAGTGATAGAGTCTGGAGGGATTTGTGGATCATGTTTCAAAGGGGGAAACAGTGAAGTATTGGGAGCACGGTGCATGGCATGCAAGGATGGAAAGCTAATTGAAACATTTGTTGAAACCCAAGCAAAGAATGGGGTAGAAGAACACAATGAATTGGGGACAACAAGAGGGAGAAAAAAACTGCTCACCACCATGATAATCCACGCAATGTGATACGCCTTGATGCACAACTTTGTCCCCACAACATATTCACCAAAGGCATCCATGGCAGCATCGAAGAAGCACTTGTTGGCGAATGGGAGGCCGGACTCCGCATCATTCCCCCATGTGCTTAGTGGATCATCGGCAGCTGCAGCAGTTGGGTTTGGAGGGGGTTGGGGAGGGGACAGGTGGGGCATTGGCAGGCCAATCTGATCGGTCGAAGGAAAACGGGAAAGGGTAAGAGAGAAACAATGACCAGGGAAGGGGGTTGGGGGTCTAAACCCCCCAAAATCATGCAATACAAGGTATTGTGCGATGGAATACTCACTTGGGCAGTAGGTGCCCCGAAGATCGCACTTCAATTCCACGTCGATGTGTAACTCTGATGCACGCAGCCCACTAACTGCCATCCCCAGGGCCTCGAGCACCGCCCTATTGATATAGAAGGCGCGCTCGTTCTTCCATTGCGTCCAAACACGCTTGAAAGTTTCAATGCGTTTCAACACCTCTTTCAACTGAATCAAAGACACTAAGTAGTTCTTTGATATGACCGCGTGCAAGACCAAGATCCTCTTCTCAAAAGATGGGTAGAAATTGATTTCGTTGTCATCAGCTTCCATGCACATGCGATTCCTGGTATCCTCGATGTAGAGCTAATGAAGTATTCAACGGAAGGGAAAACATGGAACATGGCATGCAGGGAAGGAGCAAATTAGGATGCATGGGGAGGAGGGCAAGCTTTGAATGGTGCAAACAGAGATGAATGCAATGCAAGGCATGCAGGGAAGGTGCACATTGAGAAGCATGGGGAGCAAGGCATGCTTTGAATGGGGCAAACAGAGATGACTGCACTGCAAGGCATGCAGGAAAGCTGCAAATTGGGATGCATGGCGAGCACGGCATGATTTGAATGGGGCAAACAGAGATGGCTGCACTGCAAGGCATGCAGGAAAGGTGCAGGTTAGGATGCATGGGGAGCAGGGCATGCTTTGAATGAGGTGAACAAAGATGAATGCAATCCAAGGCATGCAAGGAAGGTGCAAATTGGGAAGCATGGGGAGCAGGGCATGCTTTGAATGGGGCAAACAGAGATGGATGCAATGCAAGGCATGCAGGGAAGGTGCAGGTTAGGATGCTTGGGGAGCACGGCATGCTTTGAACGGGGCAAATAGAGATGGATGCGAAGCAAGGCATGCAGGGAAACAGATTTACGGGTTGGGGAAGGGCAACTGACCCTCAAATTCGTGGCAGATGGCATCCCGTGTCTCCTAGCGATGGGCGGTCCTTGTACAGCACTCTCCGCCGCACACACGGGCTCAGATTCCTGGGAGGGTAGCTCGCTGGATATCGCCTGCAGAGGTGGAACTGGCATTCCTACTCCAGCAGAATTTCTCAGGGGCCTTGGTGCTGCCTTCAGCTCCGCAATCTGCCTATTCGCTTCCTGCAATGCCTAAACAATTGCTGCATGGACGCGTTGGGTGATACACCAGCACTACTGAAAGGGAATACAACTGCCGCACCCTCTTGCTTGCACCTTGCGGATTCTCCCGCGACTTCAGGCCCAATATCTGTTTTACCAAAAGCCTCACAACTAGGTCGACCGTCACCTGGCTGACCTCCAGCACCAGGGTTGCCACCGTCAGCTGCGCCCTGGAGTCCGACCTGCACGCCACTACTCCGCTCAAAACCCTGCCCAATGCCCCACTCCTCATCGTCACTTCCTCCATGCGTACGGTTGTCAGCAACACGCTGGACTTCAACTTTGATGCCACTCCGCCCACGAACCGGCTGGACATTCCTTCCCAACGAGGAACCTAAAGCGAGTGCCGCATAGGGGTCGTCTGAAGCCCCCCGTTTCTTGCGAATGCTTTCCCATCGGTTCTCCGCTGTAGCATCTACTGTTTTTCCCAAAACCTTCATGTCATTGTAGAACCCAAGATTGGCATTCAAAGTACGCCGCTCCTTACCCACTCGGGTTTCCCCACGTTCTGAGCGCTTGGCTGGTGCATGTTCTTGGGGCCTCCCCCTCTTACGCCCTTTCTTTTCCTTCCTAGCGCGACAACGCTTTCTACTAGATCCGTTTCTGCGTCCACCCTGAGCCTTGCCTTTCCTCCTGTCTTCCTCCTCACTCTCTGACTCTGATTCCGCATCCTCACTTTCGTCCTCCTCATTGTCGTACTTCTCGCTCCCAGAGGAGCTCCCCAACTCCTCCTCAGAGCTTTCATCGTCATCGGAAGATTCCTCCTTGAAAGGGGCTTTCTTTCCAGCCCTTCGGCGCCGTGACTTCACCCTCCTTGACACCCCTCTCTGATCCTCCAACTCCCCGCCACAGCTCTCCCTCCCACCCCCCCCATGCCCAGGAACATTCTCTGCACCATCCTGTCTAGCACCTGCTGTAGTAGGAGTGGATGTGTCACGCTTCACTTCAAGCTCGCCCTCATGATCACCCTCGCCCTCGCCAATCCTGCCGCAGTGCTCACCGTCACGCTTGCTGTAACGCTCGCCGTCACGATCGCCGTCACGCTTGCTGTAACGCTCGCCGTCACGATCGTTGTCACGCTTGCTGTAACACTCGCCGTCACGATCGCCGTCACGCTTGCTGTAACGCTCGCCGTCACGATCGCCGTCACGCTTGCTGTAACGCTCGCCGTCACGATCGTTGTCACGCTTGCTGTAACAATCGCCGTCACGATCGCCGTCACGCTTGCTGTAACACTCGCCGTCACGATCGCCGTCACGCTTGCTGTAACGCTCGCCGTCACGATCGCCGTCACGCTTGCTGTAACGCTCTCCATCATGATCGCCGTCATGCTCGCTGTCACGATCGCTGTCACGCTCGCCGCCCCGCTCGCCGTCATGCTCATGCTCTTTCACTTGCAAGTGATCCTCGTCGTCTACAGCTTCATGCTGTCGTGTTGCCCTGGTCGCCTGTTGTTTCCCTCTTTTCCCTTTCTTGGCACCGCGTTTAGCTACAACACATAAAGAAAGGGCGACAAGATCAGTGGTGACAAGTGGAGCACCTCTATTGGTGGCGAAATCAACCACGATATCAATGAGCAACTCTGAAACAGACATAGAAAGATGCTATGCGGAGCTAAAAGGCTCTTGCTTACCTTTCCTCTCTTTAGCAGGTTTGAATTGGTCCAGCAGCTTCACCTTAGGACCGTTCCGCGGCTTGCTTGAACCGCCACGACTAATTTGGCCAGCGTAAGGTTCGTCACCAGACTGGTCACTATCCGATGATGAGTCCCCTGACTCCTCGGCAGCGCGTGCAGAAGATTTGTTCTTCCTCCGATACTGAACAACTAACGCAGCAGCTTTGTGATGTGTCATCTCGTCATGAAGCCTCTGTTCCGCACCTGTTCTAGTGCCTTCCAGGGGCTGTAAAGCTCTAGTGCCTACTACCACCGCAGTAGCATCGGCCTGTTGATCGAGATCGCAGATGTCCACCATTATTGCCGCTAGACCAGTCCAGTGAATGATTGCAAGATGAGGAGTGCATTTCAATGGATCAAAGCTTGCTTAAATAGGTATTCGAGGTGCAAGGAATCCCACCGCGCATGCTAGACGTGCCTGCGAGAAACGCAGCGCGAAATCCCAGTACGTGCCCGCGGAACGCGCTCAAGAAGGAGTGAGAACAGGAGCGCGCCATTGCTGGACGCGCCCTTAGAGAGCATTACGACTGCGCCATAGCTGGACGTGCCTACGACGAGTAATTGCAATGCGGTAAGGTTAGAAGTACCTACTGCTAACAGCAATGCGTTATGGTAGCAACTCACAGTGAGGCAACATTTGGAAATGCCTATCGCAGGAGGGTATCGTGAGGAGAACCTCAACTGGTACAAGCGTGACGTTCTTGGTGCTCTTCGCCTTAGGGTTTCGTGGTCTCAACTACCGCCACGAGAGATGGCACAGCATGTTCCTTTAACGAAAACCTCCCATAAATTCGCGTCGTGCTGGAGTTCCACGCCTTCTTCAGCTCCTGTACCAGTTCTGGGATCGCAGCAGCCCAGCTGCCCTAGAAGTTGCAAGGTATGTGCTGGCAGTATGTGAGTGTTCACAAGCCTAGTCTTAGTAGGAGACTTGTTGGGTTGGAACGCCGTTTTGCCAGCAATCCTATATCTGCATTGTACTAAAAGCGCGATACTAGTAAGTATTTTCGATCGCGTGAATGTCAACATCAGAGCTAGACTAGCCGCAAAAAAATCTATGTCACAAAAAATCAATGCCACAACAGGAAACAGGCAGCGCAAAATTCAAATACACGCGTAGGACGATCCGTGCCTAGTCCAACTCATCGCGCTTTGAGAACGACTCTGTTCTGTTGCCCTTGAACCATCGTTGCAATATCGAAAACAAGGATGGGCGTTACAAGTGCGCTGTATAACAACCCAAATATCATTCTAACACATCATCTAGTTTGTTTTTCTACCAAACTCCAGGTACCGTACTTGTGATTGGATCTGGACTAACATACAAGTCACGCATTTAGGGATAACCCTCAACCACAGAAAGAACCCTACCAAGAATTCAAACTCCAAAAATCGTCGTAATGTGTCACAGAGGCCGCCTTTATGAAACTGCCATGAACAGTGAGAAGGGTGATACTGTGGTATATTGTCATATGCAACATCACCAAGATACCAGGGGACTGGAGTTTCACATACACCAAATGGCTGCTAAGTGTAAGCACGATTCAAATCAAGTCTTGCTCTGGCATGCAACATCCCATATTCAGCCTGGTTGGAAGAGATCAGCAGAGTGTTTCTTGATTGTAGGGGTACTATGCATTCAGCAAAGGAGGATAGAGAAGTTGCGTTGTGTCTGTTGTGCAACCTTACGATTCACATGCGGCACGCTGTGTGTTGACATGTTCTAGTACCGTATAACCACACACCGTTTTTGTATGCCGTGCCTCTTGAAGGCATGCTACTGTCCAACCCACCTTCAGCCATCCATTCATTGCATGCATGCATGGTTCGGTGGGACACCACTCCATACTGCCCACTCCACTCTGGGTCCTCAGCACCATGACGTGACACACACCTTTCAGGATAGTAGCATAATAACTAGGCCATCTGTCATTATACTCAGCTAATCTCATGTCTAGTGCTAGATTATGCAGCCCCTATCCAACACCGAAGGTGGCTAAGAGCATCACACAGCCTGAATAGAGGTGCATGCACTATCATAGAAACACGACCACTTAGCCAAATCTTTACGATATTGCCACCTCCACTGTCTTGGCGTCCCGACCAAGTTGCACGCATTCAGACTGCTGAATTTGGATTCAATGAGAGTATGAATCACTCGCATTACATAAACACCGCAGTCATTATCGTTGTCTTGCTGTCGCACCTGCAAATGGCCCTAGAAGGTGATAGTGTTGGGATTAGGTGCAATATTTGAATTCGGGCAGAAAAATGATGTTCATGCGCACCTCACTTCTCACACTCCCCTTCTCATCCGCGCATCCCCATTGCACTCATGTGCAGCCCACTCCTCTCACTCCCTTTCTCATCCGCGCATCCCCACCGCACTCATGCGCAACCCACTCATCTCACTCCCCTTCTCATCGGCGCATCCCCGTTGCACTCATGCGCATCCTACCCTTCCCACCCCCATACGCATCCGCGCATCCAACGCGCATACCTTGATGGCGTTTAACGGAATCTCTGCTGCCCACGATTTTGCTTTAGTCTCCGTGATCCATGCGTCATGACCTGTCGCATCAAGCATCTGCGCATTGAGCGTACGGGTCATTAGCACTCGTCCGCAAGAATCATGTTTCATACGAAGCACATATCTCACTTTCTCAAAGGTCCACCAATGTCGACGTGAGTTGCATATGAGTCCGCATGCCACAGGACACACTTGATCGAGATAAGGGATCCCGGAGCGTGGTTAATTTTGATGACAACAAGGCTCCAGTGCGCACTGCAATGTTATCGAGACTCTAATGTCGTTAGTTTGCAACACATGGGTACGTTCCACACATGAATAAAAAGACCCGACTACTTACTCCTTGTTAATCGGAACAAGAACGTGCTTAAACGACAAAATGTCATTTCCATAGGCCTGCCTAGTGATCGTCTTCAACCCCGGGCGTGCTACGAGTGTCCAGAAATAAGGCGATGTGCAAAGCCACGACGCATTGTCATATCCGTACTCGTAGTGTAACATACTGCAGGATCGACATGAAAATATACAAAGTCGGTGAAGCTCGTGAGAAACTAAAATCAAGGGTCAGCAAATCAGTTTGCTCTGTGTTCAACACAGAGGCACTCACGATGAGAGCCACTCGATAACCATGCCACTGATCCACTGCTCCTTTTCCAGCGTGCGGTAATCTGAGGGTTTGATTTCAAGAGATCCCCCAAAACGGGGATGGCATGCGCATGTGCCGGAAACTACTGTGCGCTAAGTTGGGTATGCCCTTCTCCTCCATATCTTGAGTATGCAAACTCAGCTTGAGCAGGATCTTGCCTTAGGTAAGGGGCAAAATTCCTTGCCCATCCAACTCAACGGAAAGTCGAAGCAGATACTGTAGTTCCTCCTAAGCAAGGACCCACACGCCCTTGCACTTCGTTGGTCAACTTTGTGCTAAAATTCCTGCTCCGATTTGTCGTCAACAAATAGCCTGCTCTTGATATCTTGTCTACTTGGTGTCCAGTGTTGGGTGGTATGACAGGATTCCCTGCTCTAATGGCATTGGTGCGGCTTGTATTTTTCTGACACACAATTGGCGTGTACCCCAAAAAGGATGTCAGGTCCATGTCACAAGCGGAAACGACCTTCGCCAACTTGTTTCTAGTTGGGTACAAAACCTCGTCAGGTTGCTGCGACAAGAAAGCAGTTTTTGTACGCGAAAACAGTTACACCAAGAGATGTTGAGTATGAGTCGCACGGCGTTCTCGCCCATCTGCGCGGTTGTCGCGCACCAATAAACAGTGTGACCTAGCACTTCGAGCAGTACATCAAAAACCTTAACCAATTGCAAACCAACTACTGACACTCGATGACCAATGGCCAATCAGGGTCACAGGAAACATATGTTCAGGCTCAGATCGCCAATTTGTCTTCGCGCCAAATCCTTCTCTCGCCTTTCGGTAAACTATCATCCATACGATAGTTTACTATCTCACCACGGTGCAGTGTTACCACTCATATCTCAAGCTGGTGTGCCAAACACCATTTCAGTCCTACGGACAGATCTGCTCGATGGAGGGTCAGGGTTGCGAGTTTTGCAATAAGCGCGTGTACTGCTATCAAACAGTACGTAGCCATCAAGCTAACCATGACGGCTGTAAGCGAGCCCAAAGACACAAGGCTAGAGAGGCTGCTAAACGAAAGAAGCTGAGTCGTGATGTTGAGAAGTAGTATACCTTTGTCCCGTTAGGAAGAGCCACCCTTCTCGCGCCAAAGCATTTGATTCCCTCATTAGCACTTCCGAACGCAGTAGAGCAGCACCAGCAGCCGGAAGAGCGAGTTCCTGATGCGGTCCATACGTGTAGCACCACATTCGTGGGGGAAGAAGCTCCTACAAAGGAAATTCTCGATTTTAAGGCGGAAATATGCATTTTGGCACGGTCTCATGGCCTTACTAACGGGGCAATAAACGACACGATACAGTTAGTTAGACATCCGAAATTAGATCCAAAGCAGCTGGACGATTGGAATAGCTACCGGGACCTGGAGAAGTACGAGAACACCTTTGACGTTGGAGAGGCGAACGAATGGATCGTCGGGGAGATCCCAGTGGATTAGGAGATTGGGTTTCTCACTTTAAAACGCCGAAGCGTTATAAAAGTGAGTGTCTCCCAGGTGCGGTGTCACGTTCTTTTGAGTGGAGGTGGGGGTTTAGTGATGACGATCAAACCATCGGACCAAAGGGAGCCATCGTTTCTTCACGTCTGTTTTACATCTTTGTTTCTGACATTATCACCATCAGCTCCTTCATGCCATGTTCAAGAAAATGTCAG